ATGTGGATTGGATGGTTATCATGATGGTCGCTGTGGAAACATCGCGCATGAGGGTATAATGATTGCTGCTGTTGGTGTTGCTGTTGCTGCTGAATATTAATTGCTAAACAATTTTTATTTTCGGGTCACTTACAGGCGCCCTGGCGCTCTCGCCGAGGCAAGGCTACAGGTTCATTGGAAACGAGGCTCACGCTCCAGCGGTTTAGGGGACCGCCAAAACCGGCCTTCCAACAACAACAACAACAACAACAACAACAACAACAACAACAACAACAACAACACCAACAACAACAACAACAGCAACAACAACAACAACAACAGCAACAACGCTCCCGCTCGAGACTTGCTCCGTTTTTGCTCAGGGTTGGTGTTCTTGCTCGCCGCCGAAAGCAGCCGCCCTAACAAATACAGCGCTCCCGCTCGAGACTTCCTCCCGTTTTACCTTGGACTGGCGCGCTAATCTTTCTCTCGTCGGCGCCGCGCCAGCAAAAAACAACGCTCCCGCTCGAGGCGTCCTCCCTTTTTTACTCGAGGCGGTGCTCCTCCTCAACGCCGAAAACCGCCGCCCCGACGAAACCAGCGTTCCCGCCCGAGACTTCCTTCCATTTTATGTTGGACTGGCGCCTGATTCTCTTTTGAATTGGCGCCGTGCCAGCAACAACAACGCTATCGCTCGAGCCTCCCTTTTTCCTGAAGACGGTGCTGTTCCTCGCCGCCGACAGCCGGCGTCCCGACAAAACCACGGCTCCCGCTCGAAGCTTCCTCCCTTCTTACCTCATCGCCGCCGAAAACCGCGGCCCCGACAAAGCCAGTGCTCCCGCCCGAGACTTCCTTCCGTTTTACGCTGGACTGGCGCCTAGCTCTATTTTGACTTGGCGCCGTGCCAGCCAGAACATCGCTCCCGCTCGAGCCGTCCTCCCTTTTTCCTGATTGACAAAACCACGGCTCCCGCTCGATGCGTTCTGTTTCTTACTCGAGGCGGTGTTCTTCCTCGCCGCCGAAAGCCGCCGTCCCAACAAAACCAGCGTTCCCGCTCTAGACTTCGTTTTGTTTTGCGCTGGACTAGCGCCCTACTCTCTTTAGCATTGGCGCCGCTCCCAGCAACAACAGCAGCCCTGCTCGAGACTTCCTCACTTTCTATTCAGGGCCAGGTCCTTGCCTCACCGCCGACAGCCCCCATCCCCACCATGGCAATCCTGTCGTTCGATACTTCCTTGTGCTTTACCCGTCGCTGGGGTTCCACTGGCGGTCTCGCATCGGCGCAGCAATGCGCGGGCATGTGTTTTCGAGGCGGGGTATGTTAAACTCCCTCGGAGGAGGTGTTGGCAAGACCTCACTGGGCGGGAGATCTGGGAATGCGAATAACGGACCCCGCTATAGCACAAGAGTCCCCCATGATGTGGATTGGATGGTTATCATGATGGTCGCATGCTTCGTGCGGAAACATCGCGCACGAGGGTAAATTGATTGTTGTTGGTGTTGATGTTGCTGTTGCTGTTGCTGTTGTTGTTGATGCTGTTGTTGTCGTTTGCGTTGGTGGTGTTGTTGTTGTTGGTGTTGTTGTTGGTGGTGTTGTGTTTGTTGTTGTTGTTGTTGCTGTTGCTGTTGTTGTTGGTGTTGCTGTTATTCGGGTTGTTGTTATGGTTGATGATGTAGATGGTGTTGTTGCTGCTGTTGTTGCTGCTGCAATTGTTGTTGTTGCTGTTATCAGTGTTGCTATTCGCGTTGTTGTTGTTGCTGTTGCTGTTGCTGTTGTTGTTGCTGTTGTTGTTGTTGTTGTTGCTGTTGGCGTTGGTGTTGTTGTTGTTGTGAGTTTGTCATCGCTCGAGGGGGTCTTGGCTCTCCCCCCGGCATCGCCTCCCATGAGGCGACGCCCGAATGGACCTTCCCCCATCTACCTGTGGAAGTCGTTGGATGGAGAGGAAGCGTGCGGTCAAACAATCTCCAGATGTCTGAAACATGTTTCACACATGTTTTACACATGTAAAACATGGTTCGCACATGTTTAGAACATGTGTTACACATTTTAAACACCTGTTTCATTCAATGCTCGGATTGTCAGGGTGTCCATTGTCATGGCATCCACAACCATACGCTGCCTCTCCCCGGCGCGCGCACCGCGCGGCGCTGCAGGCGACGCCCGGGGTTGTGCGGAGCGGGGGGGGGGTCCGGAGCCGACCCCGAAGGGGGCCGACGACGACCACGGCGGATGCTCCTCGGGGCCTCCTCGGAAGGCTCTCGGGGGCCTCGGGGGGGGGGGGGGCCTGGGGCCTCTCGGAGGCCTCTTCTGGGGGGCCAGCCCGGGGCCTCTCGGAGGCCCCTTCCTGGGGGGCCCCTGGGGCGCCTCTGGGGAGCCTCACGGGGGCCTCTGGGGAGCCTCATAGGGGCCTCTGCGGGCCTCCTGGGGACCTCGCGTGGGCGCTCCGATGTGCCGTGCAGGCCTCCACCTCGCCCCCACCCCCCTTTGGTTTGCGGAGGGCGATCACTGGAGAGGAAGCATGTTGCCAAATAATTCCCATATGTCTAAAACATGTGTTCAACTGTAAAGGGAAAAACATGCTTAAGACATGGTTCGAACATTTCTCTTACACTTTAAACACATGGTGAAGTCAATGATAGAACTGTTAGGGTGTCCATTGTCGTGGCCTCCGCCCCTTGGTGCGCGCGGCCAGGAGCCGCTCCCGGGGGCGCTGGCACTCCGCGCCTGCGCGGGCCCGTCCCGCGACCAGCGGCGCGAGGCGGCCCGCTTCTTCGACGAGCTGCGGCTGCTGGGCCACTTCGCCCGGGAGGCGCAGGCGGGCCGCTGAGGGCCCCGCGGGTGGTGCTGGTCGGCCCGCGGAGGCTCGCCCCCTTCCTCCTCCTCCTCCTCCTCCACCTCTCCTCCTCCTCCTCCTCCCCTCCTCCTCCTCCTCCTCCTCCTTCCTCCTCCTCTCCTCCCCTCCTCCTCCTCCTCCCCCTCCTCCTCCTCCTCCTCCTCCTCCTCCCCCTCCTCCTCCTCCTTCTCCCTCCTCCTCCCTTCTCCCTTCCTCCCCCTCCTCTCCCCTCCTCCCTCCTCTCCTCTCCTTCTTCCTCCTCTCTCCTCCTCCTCCCACCTCCTCCCTCCTCCTCTCCTCCTCCTCCTCCCCTCCCCCTCCTCTCCTCCTCCTCCTCCTCCTCATCTCCTCCTCCTCATCCTCCTCCTCCACCTCTCCTCCACCTCCTCCCCTCCTCTCTCCTCCTCCCTCCTCCTCCTCTTCTCCTCCCCCCTTCTCCTCCTCCTCCTCTCCTCCTCTCCTCTCCTTCCTCACTCCTCCTCTCCTCCTCCCTCCTCCTCCCCCTCCTCTCCCCCTCCTCCTCCTCTCATCCTCCTCCTCCTCCTCCTCCTCCCTCCTCCTCCTCCTCCTCCTCTCCTCCTCCTCCTCACTCCTCCTCCTCCTCCTCCTCCTCCTCTCCTCATCCTTCCTCCTCCTCCTCACCACCCCCTCCTCTCCTCCTCCTCCTCTCCTCCTCCTCCTCCTCCTTCCCCCTCCTCCTCCCCCTCCTCTCCTCCTCCTCCTCCTCCTCTCCTCCTCCTCCTCCTCCTCATCCTCCTCCTCCTTCCTCCTCCCCCCTCCTCCTCCTCCTCCCCCTCCTCCCCCTCTCCCCTCCCCTCCTCCTCCTCCTCCTCCCCTCCTCCTCCTCCTCCTCCTCTCCTCCTCCTCCTCCTTCTCCTCCTCCTCTCATCTCCTCCTCCTCCTCCTCCCCCTCCTCCTCCTCCTCCTCATCATCCTCCCCCCCTTCTCCTCCTACTCCTCCCTCCTCCTCCTCCTCTCCTCCTCCTCTTCTCCGCCTCCTCATCCCTTCTACCTCCTCCTCCTCCTCCTCCTCCCTCTCCATCTTCTTCCTTTCCTCCTCCTTCTCCTCCCCCTCCTCCTCCCCCCTCTCCTCCCCCCCCTCCTCCTCCCCCTCCCCCTCCACCTCCCCAAGGGTCCGATCCGACTGGGTCGGAGGATGGCGCCGGATCGCCGACGCATCGGCGATGCGGCTGGATGTGGAGCTCGATGGCCTCCAAGCCGACGTCGACGGTGCATCGCAGATGCATCGGCGGTGCATCGGCGATGCGGCGCGAGCCTCCGACTCCATGCGCTCGGACCCCATCTGGGAGGCCTCTAGGCGGGCGGGGCGGGGCGGACCGCGGGGGCTTCCCCAGATCTCCGAGGATCTGGCTTCTTCAGTCTCGCCTCGATTTCGGCCTCCAAGGGCCGCAGCCGGGCACCCGGGATCCTCGGAGATGGGTCGGGGGCGCGGAGCTGCTCCCAGGAAAAGGTGGTCGGGATCTCTCTGGGGCCGCGGAGGGAAGAGGTCATGTCGGAGGATGTTCTGGTGGAGAGCGCGGGGCCGTGCCACTGCAGGAGCTCTGGTCGGACGGGGCGAGGGCGAGAATAAGTCCGCGCGCGAGGAGGACCGGGCAGCTCCCCTCGTCGAGCTGCCGAGGGGGACTCCCCGGGGGGGCGGACTGCCTGCTCTGCGCCGCGGAGGGGGGGGGGGGGCTGCGTGCGGGCGCTGCTGGAGCTGCTGGCGCCAGGGGCGCACCCAGGTCAGGGGGACGCCATGGAGGAGAGGGTCGGACGGGGCTAGGAACAGGAGACAGTCAAAACTCAGAGTAAGGACGCACGGGTGTCCTTAGGGTGTTCTTGCGTCCTCGCCTCTGCGGCCCGTCCTTCGCGGTTTGCGCTGGCCAGCCCTTCATGGTGTTTTGGCAGTTCGCTGGTCAAAAAGTGCCAACTTCGGCGTCCAAGGCCCCTGCGTTTTTTCCGTGCGTCTTTACTATCGGTTTCGACTGTAGGACGAGGATACATCCGTCCCAGAGCGTTGCGGAACGCTCTCAGAGCGTTCCGAAACGCTCTGAGAAGGCCGCGGCGCCCGATACATCCACAAGAGCCGCTGGATCTAAGAGATTCTCGGTTGGTCCTCACCCGATGCCATCCTCGTCTTGGCTTCGTCTTGACTGGGCCACCATGGAACTGGCCGTATCGATTTCGGCTCAAGTTGCCATTTCTCGAGGCAGCCGGCCAGGACAGCTTCTTTTGCCGCCTGTGGGGCAGCCCTCTGTCAGGCTCCCATGTGGCTGTGCGCATTTCTGCTCCTGTTGGAGCGACTGTTTCCTCAACGGTCTTTCCCTCTCGTGTGCCATGGCGCCGCAGCAGCAGCGGCATCCCTGGCGTAAGCGTGATGATGAAGATGATGACGGTCATCCTCCTGTGCGGTTCGCGTAGCAACCTTGGGTCCAGCCCCTGGGTGGACCAGGGACGGTGGGGCCTCTGTGCTCGCCGAGGTGATGTTGGCCGTCGGCAAGGAGGCCGGCAACCCAGTTACTCTTCCGAACGCAGTTGATGTTGTCACCGGGAATACATGTGCCATGGCCATTCCTGCTTCAGTGAATGTGGATGTGCTTACTTTGGATCAAAGGCCGTGATGGACAAACATCGTACGGACGTGGAAGAAGAGCCCACCGTCTCACGCGATGAGATTCGGGTAGCGGCGGCTCTCCTCATTGGTGCGCGACCCGATCCCAAGAATGCTCTCGAGCCGTTGGGTGTTGAGCACCCGTTTGGCCAAAGCGGTTGAGTCTGCTGCGTGTGCCGAGCGAGTTGCCCATCAAGAGATCGCATTCAAGGAATAGAAATGTACAACGATTCGCAAGCGGTTGGAGGAGGTGGGTGAGGCCTTGGCTGCAGCTGCGCACGAGCTCGAAATTGCCACGGCCGCCCGTCAGCAGGCTGACCTCGACCAGGCATCCTCCAACCCAGATGCACGGAAGAAGTCAAAAGCTGCTGAAGTTCAACGTGCTCGGCAAGAACAGCAGGCGCAAGTTGTCGCTGGCCATGGTGGACACCCTCAGGCTGCTCAACCTGCTGCCGCCGTGGCTCTCGCAGGCCATGCTGCAGACGGTGGCGGACGTCATGTCCCGCCGCAGCAGCAGCAGCAGCAGCAGCAGCAGCAGCAGCAGCAGCCCCCGCCGCAGGCTGTGCCCATCCCTGATATTGCCAACACCACTGGCCACGAGTTGCAGCGATGGTGTATCTTGCTCTAGGAGAACGTTGACTATTAGAAGGCCCTCCGTGACATGCAGGTCATGTTCAATCAGGTGAAGTCTGCTGATGATGACATTCCGACAATGGCAGCGTCAACGACGACCCAGATTTGCTCGACGCCGAGTATCAAGCTCTACGTAAGAGGTCACTCGAGGCTGCACTCCAACATAAAGAGGCTAAGCATACGGACAAACTCGTGTCCCACAAGTCCAAGCAGAAGTCGGCGAAGAGGATCAAGACGGTGGCCGGCATCGTGGAGGCCGCTTTCCAGCGCGTTATTGCTCAGACGGGATTCCAGATGCAGAGCCTTTAGGGAGCTTGTGCTGTCCTGTCAGTCCGCTCGTCCCCCTGGAGGTGCCGGTGCGCAAGCTATCTCAGGCAAGCGTGCCGCCGAGGGGAAAGCCGATCAATCTTGTCCCTGGTTCCTGTTTGCGAGCGCTACCTCTTGGAGCTTGCCTGCCAAGAGTTTTGCATCCAGGTGTCGTGCCCCGTGTGACGGCTTCTTCTTTGCCGAACATCACCTGACCAGTGACAGAGCAAAGGCTTGTATGAAGGATGATCCACCCACCAAACCACCCCAACCCAACCCGAAGGCTCAGATTTACCCTCGATTTCCAGCGGGGGGGGGTCGGGAAACATCGAAAAAACACATGTGGAACCCTTACCCCCCAACCCGAAATTCGGGTCTTCGGGTTGGGTTGGGGTGGTCTGGTAGATAGCCAGATGAAATTTTAGATGAGATGGAATCCCCATGTCCACCCTGCCTGTTGTGTCCCCTGGGGGAGGCACCCACGGTGGCGTTGGTGCCATGCCCTCCAGGGGACTAAGGTTTCGGCGTCTCCTGGCCCATGAAAAAATCCGTCGTCGACCTCGGACTTGGCAAAGGCTTCAATTTTTTCTCATGTTCTAGAGCCCCGCACTCAGAATGCGCGCCTCGCTGTGGGCGTGATCTACGCGGTGTCTGACCTGGGTGTGGCGGTGGAGAATACTGGCAAGACGAAGGCAAGAGGAGAAATTTGCTATGGATACCCTCCGCCCTCTGGCTACATATGCCATTGGTACGCTTGAGACCCGTGCTCCTGGCGACCTCACTCGGGGTGCCTCTGTCTTTTCCAGCAGCACCGCTGTTTGCGTGGACCATCGCTCCCCAGAGTTTCCCTTGACCTTCGCTTGAGCGCAAATGTTGTGTTGGCTGGACTGTCTAACCAATGCGAGAGGTCCCTCACGTGGCCTGCCCAGATCCTGCTCGGCGTTGTGACCCTCCCCCCCAAGACCCTTGAAAACGAACGGCCAATATGAAAATGCCCGGGTGTCTACCGCGTGCATTGCTGCATGCGCGGCCGTGACCTCGAGCCCTGGAACGCCGCCCATTGCAAATTTTGGGACGATGCCGCCACAGGCCGAAGTGCTCTGAGCGCTGCTCTCTTGAGGGAGGTTGGACATGAAGTTGCCATGTGCCTGTGTGGATTCTCGTCTGCCCTCCACTTGGACCTCGCTAAGTTGTTTGCATGTGTGGATCCTGCCAGATTGATTGAGTTTGGGATTCAGCATGACTATCCCCCCCGTTTCCTATACCTTGGCATGCCGATCCACACTGCACCTCGTACGGTGGAGGCTGATCTGATCCGTGCGGGATCTGGCATATGGGCGTGGTGTAAACAATCCATGTCTTGGGTTGAGATGTATTTGTATAATTTGCTATACCATGCCCACATTGCTCACCCTACGGTTGGGCCCAGGTCCCATGTGGATGGTCCGTCGCAGATTTTTCAGGGTGATTGTAGTATCTTTTGTGAGCGCTGAATGCCAACTGCCATTCGTCTTTTCCATGGCCTAGAAGGCCTCGAGTCTGCGATATCTGCGGAGTGTCTCTGTTGCCACGCATGTTGAGTTGCCATTCCGCTGAAGCCTCATGGTGCCATCAATGATCTCGGCACCATGACTTCTGCCAGCCGCGGGCGGGTCATCTGGGAGGTCATGTCTCGACGTGCTGTGGTCTACAAGAAGGCCAAGAAGGTTCGGTACCTTGGTCAGCTTGTGGGCCGTGCTGCTGAGTTGTACATGCCCGGTGTGGGCACCGAGCCCATGGATTGTCCCCAGCGCAGGCGCAGAGCATGCGAGCCCAGGCCGCGTTGATTTCGGGCTGACGGTCGGCTGGAGTTTGCACCACCAATGTCCAAAGATGCCCCCCCGGTTCGACTCAGGCACGGGCCATTCATGGCCTTTGCTCACATCTGGTCTTCGCTGTCTCATAAGCAGAGGCATGGAGTTTCGCAACCGTTGCAGGCGGATCATGGGCCCCATCGCTGCCACGATTGCGGTGCTCATGGACTTGTCTCGACGGCCTAGATCCGTTGTTTTGGTTGGGCCATCCTGGAGAGGCTGGCAGCGTCCTCAGGATAACGGACGCTGCTTTCCCGCCTGATGGTTGGTGCGCGTTGCTGCTATGTTGCTCTCGCTTCTCCTGGCCCAATGCATCCCATCGGCGCCTTGGGGGAGGAATGCAGGAATGCATTGCTTCCACGGTTTTGCCTGGTATTCTCAAGAACGGGTCGCGCGACGGAGAGGTGGAATCAGCGGGCATGACCCGCAACGTGCCTTCCCACGCTGTGGGGAGAATGTTGAGACGCCGCTCCATGGGTTCTGGCACAGATCAGATCGCTCCCAGGACTGATCGCTTCCGCGAGTGTGCTGAACTTGAAGATAACCTCGCCTGCCTATGGACCCGCGGTTTGCTGCCCCTCCCCATTTCCACCGGGCACTTCCCCTCCCCTGTCGAGCTCTCCTGGCCCTGGGGCCGACTGGTAGATAGGGGGTGGTTGCGGGGGGGACCTGGGGCATAGATGGATCGGGCGGTGAGCCTGCTAAGGACCGGACGCTAAGGAGGCGCGGGTGGAGCATCGTCCGTCTCGGCGCAGATGGCGGTTTCGACTCCTTCGCTTTCGGCGCCCTCCCGACCTCGAAGCAGAGTTCCCCCGTGCTCAGTTATATGTTTTATTGCGTCTACTGTTACGTAGTATTGTCGATATGATTCGTTACTCTGACTGCGTGATTGTTACCAGAGGTTTCCGTAAGCCTCTGAGCGCTCGCTCAAAGTCTCCTATGTTGGACCTCTGGGCTCGCGCGTTTCAGGCTGCCTCCCAGAGACCTGGCATTGTCAATGTCCTTTGGACCAAGGCCCGCCCCACCCAGAGTCAGGCCTTGAACCTAGGATTGCGCCCCAGCTTGTTGCATGTGAATAAAGTGGCTGATTTCTTTGCAGGCAAAGGTGCCGAAGCAGGCGCCGTGCCCCAGGACCTCGCTCAGAGGACAGCGGCTGCAGGTGACCTGTGTGCTCAGGTGATCGGTCGGCTGCATGCTTTCCAGCGTGAGATCCTTTTCTTTTCTGAACGGGTCGGCCTGCTCGAGTGGATTTACCTGTGACAAAGAAGAGATGTGCTGAGGCCCGTGCTGCAAGGCATTGCCTGTTGCCACGAAGAGGCTCCGTGCTGCAGGTCATGACCCCCGAGACTCGGTCATGACCCTGTTCCCGCGAAGAGCGTGCTGTGGCGCTGCAGGTGCAAACCTTGACACGTAAAGGACCGCTGTTTGATGTTTGGCCGTGCACGCGCAAGCCACGGGGAGATCCTGGACGTTTCACTAAACTGTTGGTTCTTGAGCACCTCCGTGAAAGCTTTGACCCCCCTTGCTTGTGGGGGGGGTCATTTGGGGACACCCGTGGGCTGCCGACGGCCGCCCATCCCGGGCGCCGGAGGTGCTCAGAGGCATCCGGTTGTGTGCTCGTTGCGGGTCTTCTTGTGTACACCACCCCCGCAAGTTGAAGACGCTTTGTCTACCCCTCTGCCGCCGCAGGCAGTGTGGTTCTGTCCCGTTGCAGCCGTGGCCGCACCCCCAAGTCTTGGATGTCCTGGTTCGGCCAAGCTAGCACATGGGACCCGCTCGTTGCATGTTACACACATACATATATATACACAAAACGATCGATGGAACTGGCCATGGAGATCACCAGGGGAAGAAAATGGCAGCGCAAGGATAGATTTTGCTGAGGTCCAGGCGGGTTTGTCGGATCGACGCTGGGACCCCCTTGGCGTCGCCTCTGGCGCGCTCCGCGCGCCGGAGAGGGGGGCGCTTAAGTTCGAGGGTGACCCTCAGGCGGACAAGAAGTGCACAGGCGATCACTGTCGTCATCCGCCCAGCATCTCGGTATTGCTTTTTCCGGGCTCATGTGCAATGCTTCGTCGGGAGGGGGGGGGGGGGTCCAGCGCCCGCCGAAGAAATCTGCACGGACATCCAAAAGTTTCTGGTTGTGCCTTTGTGTTGTTGTTTCTCTCCTTGGAGCAGGCGGCGCTGGCACGAGCACCGCAGACCTCCCTCGCCTCACCTCCTCCTCCTCCGCCTCCTCCTCCTCCTCCGCCTCCTCCTCCTCCTTCTACGCACTCATGCTACGCACGGCTATTACACACTTCCCATTCCGTCCTCCTCCTCCTCGTACTCCCCCTCTCCTCCTCCTCCTCCTCCTCCTCCTCTCCTCTTCCTACGCACTTATCTGATGCATTGCTATTACACGCTTCCCTTTCTGTCCTCCCCCTCCTCCTCCTCCTTCTCCTCCTCCTTCTCCTCCTCCCCTCCTCCTGCTCCTCCTCTCTCCTCCTCCTGCTCCTCCTCCTCCTCCTCCTCCTCCTCCTCCTCCTCCTCCTCCTCCTCCTCCTCCTCCTCCTCCTCCTCCTCCTCCTCCATCCCTCATCCACCCCCATCCGCCCATCCACACATACCTCTCGCATGCCCTTTGGGCCCGGAGCCGTGCGGAGCAGGCCGCAGCCTCAGCACAAAAACGGCCCCCTGTTTTCGGAGTGGCCTGCCCTCGCCCCCCCGCTGGACGACGCTGTGCGCCTGCGTCTGCAATGCCATGCTTGCAGTCCCCCATTCGGGCACTCCATCCCTCCGTCCGTCCATCCGTCCATCCATCCACCCTCCTCGCATGCCCTGCGCCTTCTCCTTCCCCTTCCCCTTCCGTCCCGCCTTCTCCTTCTCCTTCCCCTTCTCCTTGCCCTTCCCCTTCCCCTTCCGTCCCGCCTCCTCGCATCCCCTTCTCCTTCCCCTTCCCCTTCCCCTCTTGCCTCCCGCCCGCTCTCTTCCCCTTCCGCCCCCCCTCGGCTCGCTCGCCGCGCGGCCTTCAGCGAAGGGGGCGGCGTCTGCCGCGCGGCGGGGGGCTGGCGGGGAAGGGGCAGCGGAGGGCAGGGCAGCGTGGGCAGAGAGGAGGGGCCTCCTCCTCCTCCTCCTCCTCCTCCTCCTCCTCCTCCTCCTCCTCCCTCCTCCTCCTCTTCCTCCTCCTCCTCCCCCTCCCCCTCCTCCCAGGGCGGGGGGTCACGGTGGCAGCGCGCGCTCCAGAGGGAGGGGGGGGGGGGCGGAGGCATCGGTCGAGGAAGCGCCAACACGGATCCAGGAGGGTCGATTCCGATTTCGAGGGCAGGGGCCGTTCCCCTGCAGAGTGCGGCGCGCTGCGTCGCGGCACTGGCGCCGTGCTTCGGGCGGCACGCTGCCCGATCCGTGGAGAG